GTATTTGCAGACTTTAGTTCTTCGTCACACAGAGAAGAACAGTCAAGTATTCATTGCATCACAGTAGCAGATCCATAGCCAGTTCAGACTTGCTCAGCTGTGACATTCAGAGGAGGCATAGTTTAGATGCAAATCATTCTTGTATGTGGAGTTCTCCTTTAAACATTGTTGTTGAAGTGTTACTAAACCCAGGCCTTGCATTCACTATATCTGGTCTCTCACAGTACACAGAATATGGAAATGCAATTATTTTAGTAAATATAAACTGCTAAATACCTTTTCTCATCAGCAGTTAGAGCAGTCTTGTGACTTCTATCAGAGTTCAGCAGAGCACTGGTTAAAACTTGTAGGAGGAGTAGACAGGATCAAACAGCATTTTTACACAATGTGGAGAATTAACCCTTTAGGTTGCATAGTGAGTATAACAAGCCTGCTTTACTGCAAATACAGACTGATTTTACTGTTGTGGGTTTACTAACACTTTATTCTTAGATTGGCCTCACTGCCACCTGAATTCTGTGTCAATGTTTTTATCCACTCAGCAAACAATCCATTTTTTGTATTTGTATACAAACATGTTTCAATAAATTGCTTTATGTAAAATTACAAAATCTTAAAGAAGGCCTTCACCCAAAAGGGGAAGTTCTGCTTTGAGACCCACTCCCTCGCTCCTGTTTATAAAATGGCATTTTTTTTTTGGGGGGGGGGGCACGGGACTGATTTTGACAGGTACACGCTCCCACTTCTGCTTCAATCGCCTAAGAAGTTCTCCCCCCCACCTCCGCACAGTCTTCTGGGACACGTGACAGGTCCCAGAAAACTGCGGGACCATTCACAATGCGCCGCACAGCTCGTGCATGAGCAGTGGGCACACAGCTATGAAGCCACAAGCTGTCACAGCTATGAAGCTACATGGTGTCACAGCTGGGTGCCCCCAATTAAAACGGTAGTAAACTACGACTTGAAAAGAAAAAAATTTTTAAAATCCCCTGCAAAGTAATGTCATAATGTAAAAATAAATAAAATAAGGTAAGCCCTGCACCCTATGATGATGAGCATCGCTCGAAACGCGTCAGTGGGGCTACATTAGCTGGATGTCTAGCCACTGCTGAATTTTATATGGTCAGTGTCTTTTTCCTATGCGTTTTTGCACACGTTCATACCTACCTGTTTGCACCTATTTGTGAATAAAATATCCTTACGGTATCACGCTATGGTGTGTCCCTTATTGGGCTCTCTTTATTGAGAGCCATCACCCGCAGAACCTGCACCTTAAAGGGACCTTTGAATGTGTTTCACATCTGAGGACTACACCTGAGACGTGACCAGCAGGCGTACAGGATCCTGACCCTTACATGAGTACTGATGACCTCGTACACACCTGGTGAGACAGGCATATCTCAAAGGCGTATTTTTTACACACTTCTGGTGAGTGCGCAATTTACTCATTCTATTTTATTTCATCTACCACTTCGGATCAAGTCCTCCACGCACTTATTCTAGGATCACAATAGACCCTCACGTGGGCTTCTCACACCTTGGGACATCCATTTTATTCATATTTTACTTATTATTAGTCACCATCAGTGACATGTGACTTTGTTTTTATCCATTGATTTATCATTTATCCAGTTTGTTACTTGATCTCCAGCGCTGCACTTACTCTGTTTTAATGTCATAATGTGCTAGTATGCATCACATAACTTGCACATTATGAGTGACTTACCCTAAAACGTAGACCTCCAGCGGTGCGCTGTCACTGCTGCAGAGACCTCCATCTTCACCTGGTCTTCCTTCTGGGTTTGCAAACTCTGGCTATCTGATTGGTCGAGCTCACCCCATGCATGTGCACGGGAGTCCTGGGCACAGTGCTCTGAAGGAATGGCACAGGTATGCTGTTCCTTCAGAGCGCAAGTGCTGGCTGTCAGAAATAGAGAATATCTCCTAAATGGAGCACGTTTAGGAGATCTTCATTTAACCTACAGGTAAGCTTTATTATAGGCTTACTTGTAGGTAAAAAGATACAAACGTGGATTTGCTTCCACTCTACGATGCCGGCATCGGGGACAGAAGACAGGAGGTGACAATGGCTGGGGTGAGCACACTGCTGAATTTTGGGACAGGAGAGTGGCGGTTTATTAAAAGTCACCAGCTACAGTTTTTAATAACATTTTTTGATAGGAGACTGGAGGTCCGTTTTAAAGTGATTGTAAATGCTTTTATTTGTTTCTCTTAAATAATAAACATGTTATACATACTGTACCTGTTCTGTGCAATCATATTGTACAGAGTAGACACATGGAAAAGTGATGGCAGAAAACAACCGAGTGGCCCATCAAGTCTGCCCATTTTTGTTTTTTATTTTTTTTGTTTTGTTTTATTTTTATAGATCTATGCTTGTCCCATGCATGTTTGAAGCTATTTACTACTGACTGGCTCACTACATCTTCTGGAAGTTTATTCCAAGCATCAACTACTCTTTCAGTAAAACAGTACTTTCTAAGTTAGTTTTGAACTTTCCTCCAGTTAGTTTAAGGTCATGTCCCTGTGTTCTTGATTTTGGTTTCATGTTGAAAATATCAGTGTTGAGTAGCTCTGAACATCCTCTTCTGGGGTCCCCCACTGTCGCTCTAAGTTCCTCCTCTTCTGTGTGTGCGCCGCCATAGCAAGCTTCTTACAGACATGTGGGCTCACTCCTAAGCCGGGCTGTATGCATTCATAGACACATACAGTGCCACTTGGCTCCACTCCCTGCTACCTCTTCACAGGATTTGACTGACAGCAGCAGGAGCCAATGGCTGCCACTGCTGCCTCTGTGTGCTGTGAGTAGAGGAACAGAGACCAGAGCTGCTGCAGACAGGCACAAGGCTGGATAGAAATTCAGTTAAGTATACAGTTGCAAGAAAAAGTATGTGAACCCCTTGGGATTACGTGGAGTTTTGCATGAATTTGGCATAAAATGTGCTCTGAACGTCATCTAAGTCACAACAATAGAAGAACACAGTCTGCTGAACATAATACTACACAAACATTAGATGTTGCCATGGTTTAATTGCACATAACATGTAAACATTCACAGTGCAGGGAGGAAAAAGTATGTGAACCTTTGGACTTAATAACTGGTTGACCCTCCTTTGGCAGCAATAACCTCAACCAAACGTTTCCTGTAGTTGCAGATCAGACCTGCACAACGATCTGGAGTAATTTTGGACCACTCCTCTTCACAAAACTGTTTCAGTGTAGCAATATTCTTGGGATGTTTGGTGTGAATCGCTCTCTTAAGGTCATGCCACAGCATTTCAATCGGGTTGAGGCCAGGACTCTGACTGGGCCACTCCAGAAGGCGTATTCTGTGCTGTTGCAGCCATTGTTTTGTTGAATTACTTGTATGCTTTGGGTCATTGTCCTGTTGCATCACCCATCCTCTGCGGAGCTTCAGTTGGCGGACAGATGGTCGTACGTTTTCCTGCAAAATGTCTTGATAAACTCTGGAATTCATTTTCCCATCAATGACAACAATCCGTCCAGGCCCCGAGGCAGCAAAGCAGCCCCAAACCATGATGCTCCCTCCGCCATGTTTTACAGTGGGGATGAGGTTTTGATGTTGGTGTGCTGTGCCTTTTTTTCTCCACACATAGTGTTGTGTGTTCTTCCCAAACAACTCAATCTTGGTTTCATCTGTCCACAGTATATTTTGCCAGTAGTGCTGTGGAACATCCAGGTGCTCTTTTGTAAACTTCAAACGTGCTGCAATATTCTTTTTGGACAGCAATGGCTTCCTCCGTGGTGTCCTCCCATGTACTCCATTCTTGTTTAATGTTTTCCTTATTGTAGATGTGTGAACAAAAATGTTAGCATGTGCCAGAGATTTCTGTAGGTCTTTAGCTGACACTCTGGGATTCTTCTTTACCTCATGCAGCATTCTGCGCTGTGCTCTTGCAGTCATTTTTACAGGACGACCATGCCTAGGGAAAGTAGCAACAGTGCTAAACTTTCTCCAGTTGTAGACAGTCTGTCTTACCGTGGACACATGAACATCAAGGCTTTTGGAGATACTTTTGTAACCCTTTCCAGCTTCATGCAAGTCAACAATTCTTGATCGTAGGTCTTCTGAGAGCTCTTTTCTGATGGTTCACATCAGACAGTGGTTCACATCAGACAGTGCTTCTTGAAACCAGTAAACCCAAAACAGGTGTGTGTTTTTTAAGGGCAGGAGAGCTGTCAGCAACACATCCAATATCATCACACTGATTGGAGTCAAGGTTGGCTCACTCCTGGCTCCAATTAGCTCTGGGAGAAGTCATTAAGCTAGGGCCTCACATACTTTTTCCTCCCTGCACTGTGACTGTTTACATGTTATGTGCAATTAAACCATGGCAACATCTAATGTTTGTGTAGTATTATGTTCAGCAGACTGTGTTCTTCTATTGTTGTGAATTAGATGATGTTCAGAGCACATTTTATGCCCAATTCATGCAAAACTCCACGTAATCCCAAGGGGTTCACATACTTTTTCTTGCAACTGTATAAGGAGGCGATGGGGTGATACAACGACTGAGACATTTTTTCACCTTAATGGGAATGTTTTAAACTGAAAAACTTTCTGGCCATTAGAACAACTTTAATCTGACTTTCGGAAATATGCCAGCTATGTTGACAGTACTACAGTATTTGTTTTGCTTTTGCCACTCAGATGCCTAAAATTCCCCCCTAACCATTTCCTTGTTGTTTGATTTAGCAAAAGACCTGCTGGGCCAAGTATGTTTGTTTGTGGGTTTAGAATTACAGAGGAAGCTCCAAGAACACTGTTCAGGGAATCCCCAGCAAACCTCCCTCGCTCTCACCTATTGTATGCTGACATTACATCATTTCAAAAATGATTTGCAGCTCAAGGTCACCAAGGCTGCAAATAATGACTAGATTAAGACTAGTTCACACTTTCCAGAGGGGGGTATTGCATTTATGTCATTGCGTTAAAGTAGTATTAAAGTGTTACTAAACCCCGGACCCTGCATTCACTATATCTAGTCTCCCACAGTACACACAACATGGAAATGCAATTATTTTAGTCAATATAAATTACTAAATACTTTTTCTCATCAGCAGTTAGAGCAGTCTTGTGACTTCTATCAGTGTTCAGCAGAGCACTGGTTAAAGCTTATAGGAGGAGCTTTCTTTCTGCTCTAGAAGGATGCAGAACCCCTGACCTTTGTCTGGACAGTGCTGATAACATGTACTCTCCCAAGAAATACACACTAAACTGAACATGTACAGAATGGCTACGGTTCAGTGGGTATTTGAACAAGAGGAGGAGCAGAGACGTCAGGATCTAATGGCCTTTTTACACAATGCAGAGGAGGATTAACCCCTTAGGTTCCACAGTGAGTATAACAAGCATGTTTTACTGCAGATACAGACTGATTTTACTGTTGTGGGTTTAGTAACACTTTAAACCCGTTTTTGTATCTCAACACTCAGCACAATAAAAACAAACATTCCCAGTAAACTACAGTATTTAGAAAAAATGCTTAAAGCAACAGATGCAGTTTTCAATGCTGCTGGATCCTGGTCTCTCAGTGCTGCTTCCTTAAACTTCCAGTCTTCATCCACAAGCGTGGTCAGTGAACAGTGCAGTCTGGAGTCAGTCTGATAGCTTGGAGAAGGGAACATGAAGAGGAGGGATGAGCAGGGGAGTGCCTGGCCTTCCTAGGCCATGGAGAGATTACTAATTTCTGCATGCAAGAAACCGCAGCAGGAGTCCACCTGATCATACAACTTTGCTACAAGTAAAAAAGGATGCAAGTTGTTCAGATGCAGGTGGTTCACTCACATTTAAAAAGGAAGGATCAGCTTGACCGCCCTGGGCAGATACCTGGAGATGGATTGCCATGTCAATGGCTTAATCTATCTTCACATTTTGCAAGTGACAGACAGGATAAAACTGCAACCAAAAGGCATAATGGAATTGCAACTAGATACATTATTTTCATAACTTGGACTGATGGAGAAAATGTTACTACCATATCCTAACTTTTGTCGAAGGTTAAAGCAAAACTCCACCCAAAAGGGGAAGTTCCACTTTAAGTACTCCTCCCCTGCCATGTTTGGAATGCAATTTTGTTTTTCTTGGGTGGGGGGGGCAGGTACCTAGTTTTGACAGATACCCAGTCCCAATTCCTCTTGGATCGCCTAGGCAATTTGAGCGGACGTTCTTCTCTCCCCCTCCTTCCCTGCAGCCTTCTGGGACACATGACAGGTCCTAGACAACTACAGGACCATTCACAAAGTGCAATGCAACTTGCCCATGTTGCTGTGAAGCCTAAAGTCGCATAGCCAGCTGCCCACAGTTAGGATGCCGGCACTGTGAATCCAAAGGCTAGTGAAGAACCAGCCAGTGTGTGGATGGCACTGGATCCCTGGACAGGTAAGTGTCCTTTTCTTAAAAGCTACAGATTTGAAGCTGCTGGCTTTTTTTTTTTACAAAGTGGACCTCCCCTTTAATGTGTATGTAAGGGCACAATAAAAAAAAGGGCATGCAGTAATGCAATATATGCATACTTTTACTGTGTTTTGTCCTTAACTTGCAGGGAGAAGAAAAAATACTTGTTAATCTGCCAGGAATGTACTCCACTCTTAACCCTTTTGCTGTCAGAGCCACAGGTTTAAAAAATATATTTTAGGCCTGAAGATTAGGTAAACCTTCAAACATTACACAATTTCTGAAAAAGATCCTGAAGAATAAAATGTATTATCAATCACACATTTACAGTAATAAAACACTGAAATTCATTTTAGGACAAACAAATGCAATGTATTCCACAATGATAGTAGAATATAAAATATGTTGTGCTGAGTAAATAGATAGATGTCAGCTTTAAAAATTTCACGTGCCCACTAAACAATGAATTTCAGTACCCTATGGTTTCCAAAGGGGACTCTTTAAAAGCCCTATTAGGTCATCACTTTAGAGTTCACAGTGACCAATGGCCCCCTAAAATGACTGTTTTCACTCCACCGTGCACATATATGTAACATGTATAGCGTAAGCAACATTTTGTACGAAGCTGCCCCCGGTGGGTGGATTTACATTTGTGTGTTTGCGTATGTGGGGGCAGGCTCAGCATTTTTCTTTTCTCTCTTTTATTGTAGAGGAAGTTCTTTCTGCTTTGGTGTAACTTTATTTTTTGGCATTTTTTTCTATTAAAACTTTATTCATATCATGTAAAGAGACAGAAAGTCCCCTATGTAATGGAATTTCTTAGTAACAGGTTTTATCTAACCCACTTTTGGATCCCTGATGTCTCACCTGGTTTTCATTAAAGCTTACAGAATGCAGATCGTGCATCAGCCGGGAAAAGTGACAAGAAAAAAAACAGAAGGCACGTTATACAAGTCACTTCTGGGTTGTTCTTTGCAGCTAGGTGAGATTGACAAATAGATGTTTGCTGTAGTAGCTGGGCTTGTGTGTAAAACCACCAGCTGCCACTAACGTATGGCATACCTCAGTGGAAGGAAAAGGGTTAAAGCAGTAATAATCTCAAAAAAAATGTAATATTTTGCAGCATACTAATTCTTAGATGTGGTGGCTGTATTATTATTTTTTCTTTGTTTTTCACCTGATAATTGGACCAGTAAGTCTTTTTTTTCAAATTTCTTTAACAGACCAGGCTGTCCAACAAAAGTAGCAGCTAGAGGGTTGAGACAAACCATTTACCACTGACAGGGGTGCTTACAATGGTCAGGTTTTATTCAGTTAAGTAGAACCTTTTAAAAATGCTGTAATTGCTTAAAAAATGTTAGCTGGAGTTCAGCTTTAATTTGTTAGTCAAGTCCATCTAAATCTGCTAGACAATACCCTCTCCCCAAGTTGTCAATGCTGCTGTTTGGGGTCTCTGTTGCTCCTCCAGAGTGGAGACACTCTAAGAAAGGAAGTGTTCCTGGCCAAATGATCAGGTGAACAAAAAAAAAATTGAAACGAATGCAGTCAATACATGTAAAAGCTGGAAAGCTGCAATATATACAGTTTTTATTTTTTAAATACCTCTTTAAGCTCTGTTGTAGACTGACCACACACAGTACTTTTTTGGACCGAGTGGTGTCAGCCCTGCTCGATGTCTTTTGCTAAACTACTCAACCACTCCTACTTTTAGATCTTTACAACATAAAAGGTAAGTCATACTAGTCAGACCATGAAAAGAACTAGGAGGGCTCTTTGAGATAACACAGAAAGTGTGTAGAGGAAACAGGACAGCTCAACAGATTTTTTTGCACTTAGCAAACAATAACAAAATACTTTCAATGATAAATTAAAAACGGACCAATCGTGAGCAAAGAACAAAAATAGTTAAAATGGATTTTCAGCCCCCCCTACTTTTTGTTATCTAAAATCCCTACTTACCTGGTGGTGAGTTGTGCACATTTCAGATACTCACCCACCCAGTGGATCCAGCGTTGTCCACCTGAGACCCCCCTTCTCTTTTGGCATAATTTAGTGAGACGTCATCAAGTGGTTGCCGGCTGCTCTGGGTTCAGCCGGCATCCTTCCTGATGATGTATGTGACGGACTCCTGACACCCTGATTGGGTATCTTCGTCAAGAAGTTGCTTCCCAAGCTCTGGAACACAAGGCAAGTGACTATAGCTGTAGCTACCCTAAAGAACTAGAAACACCAGTTTTTGGACAAAGACGAAGAACTGCTTTATTAGAGAAGTGCACTGAAATTATACAGAAAACCATCAGATAAGAGCTAATCACATTATCATAGACAGTCCGGCGCCCACAAAGGAATATATTATACATTGGCAGTCATATGTTACAATGATAGTTCTTTCTAGATAACTTGAAAACAGTTTTCCGGGCAAAGGTTCTCCATGACAATGTACCACTAGGCCCACACCCTTCCTTTACTGAATGAAAGGCTTTGCCCCCTGGGATATGTGACATGTATATCCTAGGATGCATAGGGAGGAGAGTGTATGTCATGCGTCTAGGCAAAGGAGGAGAAATTTTAGTATACAAAAAAAAAAATGACCTATTCAGGATAGTGGGAGAGGGACAGTGTATTTGAGGGTGAAGATCCGCTTTAATGGTTAACGTTTACATACACTTTAGTAAAAGCAAAAAAAAAAAAAATTTGTAAAAGCTAGGTTGACACCTAATCCAATAAAAAGCAGCAGGAAACCCGAAGAATTAAACTAGCTTTTCACACGGCCACAACCCCAGGTGTGTTCTTTCTCCAGTCTTCAATTACCTTGACTTTCAGGTGAGTGGGATGGTGCTGCCAGTGACATGGGTTGAACAATAGCAGCGTGCTACACAGGTGACCGGCTCATTCACAGCAGCCTGCGAATTGTGACTCATCATGTTTTGAACTAGTAAAGAACACATAATAATTTACATGAGTCGAGTCACATGTCTGTTTTCTGGTCTTCCTTCAGCTATATTCATGCAGAGACAACAGGAGGCTTCATTCTATCCATACTGATTGAGGGTGCCCACTGAGTTTAGATGGTCATCACCAGATCTTAGTGTTACCCAGGGTGTCCATAAAGCATCTCCACCATAAGCAGACAAACATCTCATATTGGCTTTCCACAAAAGGGTTCTTTAGAGACCAAGTTCACCTTTTCCAGAAATCTGCCTATACAGCAAACATTTTGATCAATGTAAACTGCCATACCCGTGGGACTTTTGACCACAACCTCCCCACCCTCCCTTAACAAGGCCTGACCAAAAAACTCCCATACTTATAAGAGAAGTATGGGCTCGCAGAAAAACAAACACTAATACTAACCTACATGGATGCAGCACCAATCCATGCTGCATTTGTCCCCTGGTGGCATTTATTCAAACGCCACTAACACCCGGGTCTTCAGTCTGCAGAGAGCCGGTGACTGTCATTCACCAGTTCTCTGCTCTGCCTCTTCAGCGACCACTGGAGCACCGGGCTGAGGAGAGGGTGGGAATGGCTGGCTCCGTTTCCCAGCGGCTCAGTAAGAGATTGAGAATCTGCCGATCCATGCATCTGGGTAGATTCCAACTGTAATGTCGGGATCTTTCCTGAGTCTGAAACCAGCTGTGTGACAGCAGTCGTCAGTGGATTTTAGCCCACCGTTGGTTGAAAATAGGTCATAGGAGTGCAGAATGAACTGAACTCCTGTAACCAATAGGAGAACTATATCCAAAAGGAGCTTCGACCATACTTCTC